TATACCTGACATAAGCTTGTATATTCTCTGAAAATGTGTCTATGTACGTCACAGTGGTTTTGTTTCACGACCCAGATTTTACGCTGGACATCTAGTGGCCTTTAAGTTTTTATCATATGGAAGTAAAAATGTCTTTAAAATCAAACATTGACATTTACTAATTTTACAGTGAACTACATAGACCAATATTCAAAATTGTTAACATGCTGAATAGGAAGATTGACAGTTTTTGTTTCTTGAATGTCTACAATTGCATGCTCTCAGCAGTCAGTAGTTCACACAACAAAGTGCACTGTGGCCGACAATAACATTACATTGGAAATTTTATTGGACACATTTTTTCCTTCCTTTTAAAAGTTAATAACCCTGTTTATTTCACCATCTCAAGTTGTTAAATGGTGAGTTACATTTGATTGTTTGCTTCATGATCTTATTAGAAAAGACCTGTGACACATTTTTAGTTTGAGACCCACCAGTTGAAAGCCACTGCTGTCTGTAGTAGACCCTAAAGGCATTTTGAGAAACGCTGAAAAGCATATAACCCATGAAAAGCCATTTTATCAGTTGTCATCACTGCCACCTTAATATGAATAGTATCCAGTGTTGCGGTATACAGCACAGATAAGACATAGCAGACATATTCTCTCATATAAAGGGCAATAGAGAGAACATTAGAGGTGGAGAGAGCAAGTTATATGTTCAGCCGAATATACCCAGAAGAGTGAAAATCCTATAATATGCGTGTTAATAATGATTCCCTGGCCTTTGCCCTTTGTATCAAGATTGCTTTGGTAGTTGCGGGGGCTAATGCAGTGCAGACGCCTGATGGATGATAAGACCATGATGAGCCTCACGTGTCCCCGCTGACCTTTCACTACACTGACATTCAGCCATGACCCGTATTGAGTTCCAGCCCTATATCTCATGAAGAGGTGAGCCGGGCTGAATGTCAGGCCACGGGCTGCCCCTCTCCCCAGGGACAGGATATTTCCATGTGCCCTCACCTTCTTCTGAACCTACTGACCAGCTGCCCTTATTTACATGCGCACTTTCAAAATTACAGCCCTTTGGTTTGGCACATGCTGTTAGTGTGTTGTTTTAGGATTTTTAATTTGCATTCAGTTGAAATGAGAGCTGTACAAGGGGGAAAACAACTTAATCAGTAAAAATATCATTAAAATGTCATAAAATACTTGTTTTCAGATTGATTTATTTTTATTTATTTGTTTGCTCTACTTATGCTTAAAACAAAAAAAATCTAAAGGTAGAGTAAGTAAAAATATTAAATTTTTTTTTTTTAAATTGTGTAAGATGAAACAAGACTTTTTCTTTCTTTCTTTCTTTCTTTCTTTCTTTCTTTCTTTCTTTCTCTTTTTCTTTCTTTACATACTGGCAAAGTTATGCTTAAAAAAACCAAAGATAGAGTAACTAAATGAGTAATAATTAAAATAATTTGCAAATAATTTGAATATGTCTTTTATATATATATATATATATATATATATATATATATATCTGTATATATTATTGTATATATTATATATATTTAAAACATATTATAAAATATACTGTATATGTACATATTAAACATACTGTCACATTTATGCTTAAAATATTCCCATGGTATAATAGAGATTTTTAAGTATTTATTTATTTATTTTCCGAAAATATATCTTGACTTTATAAATATATCTTGATTTTGTTTTCCAGTTATTTTTTTTAAACCATATTGCCAAAAAAGATAATCAAACAAGATACAAATTTCAAACGTAAAATAAAGATAGTAAAAAAATATCTAAACACCCTTAAAACAAATTTGTGTTTGATAAAAAGTCTTGCTTTTGAGAATATATTTTGAAGTTTATCTTTCTGATCATACTGACAAATATTATGCTTAAAACAATAAAAAAAATGCAGAAAGAAAATTATCTTAATTCAAGATATATTCTCTGAAAATACAGTGTGTCTATATATTTGCTTCTGAAATCATTTGAGTTTTTTAAAGGATTTTTACTGGCACATTTTTTTAATGTATAGGCACTTATCCGGGTGCTTTAGATGGATCTGAACACTAACTCTAATGGGAGCCGTTTCTTGTTTGGAAACCTCCAGAGACCCCATCTCATCTGAATTGCAAAACCCGAATCGCTGAATATTCTGTCAGTTGATTGTCAAAGAACTGGATGTCCCCGATGGTTTGTGAGGCTGGGCTAAATTTAGAGTATATGTAGTCATGTAGCCCGCCTGTCTGTATCCACATCTCTAAGCGTGCATGTGTGCCCTTTGATGAAGACCATAAATAATGCAAGGTTAAACATAATGGTTTTTGTGCTTGAATTTGAATAGCTGCATGTGATCCAGGTGCTTTGTGTGTGTCTTTGTGCTCCGTCCAGATAGCATTACAGGTGTGAATGCAGTGATTGACACAGACGTCGTGCTGGGTCTTAATGAGTGTACAAGATTTGTTCGGTTTAATACACTGTGTGCCATCTTTGTGTTTCTGCTTTGCTAGCGTTGTTATGTCAGAACTGAGAGGTGTAAATTATGGATTAGAACTTTCGAGCAGTGCGTGGGTGTGCGCGTCTCTGTAATGGCCTGGGTTACTAGAATACGCTTCTGCTGTACTGTAACATCACCACTACACACTCACCATGTTTCCGGATGAGTTCCCTCTCAGAGCCGACCAGAGCGGTGAAATAGGCCAGGGCATCCCGTTGCGTCATTCTAGATAGTCTAACAACACACTCTACTGTATGTTCAGCCACCTTATCTTCCTAAACGCTCTCCTCATGCAGAAAACAGATAGATTAACTGCAATAATCAGATTTAATCCTCAAGGCTCGAGCAGTTCTAGTGTGATTTACTACTGGACAGTTCCTTAAGCCTTTGCAAACATAGTACATTCCCATAGTTATGAAATGAGGGGATTAGCGAAGTGCAGTATTATTATTTTATATTTCCTGTTTTTATTTTATTTATTTTTTTATTTTTATTTTTGTATGTCTATATAGTTTTTAGATTTTTTTTTCATTTAAATTTTAGTTGAAATGAAAATGAGAAATGTTTCATTGGGAACCAGCTAAGTTAAAAAAAAAGTTTACTAATTAAAATATATATATTTATTTTCATTTTAATTTCAGTTAGATACTGTGATTTGGACTCCTTTTTCCCTTTCTTTCTTTCTTTCTTTCTTTCTAATTGAATTTTTAAAGTTTATTTTTCTTGTTATACATCCAAATTTTACATTAAAAACAGTGTTGTAAGAAAATGAACTATTATTACAATTATATGAAATAGTATCTGAAAATACATCTATTTGCTTCTGAAATCATTTGATCATTTGAGATGGATTTGAATACTAACCTATAATGTGGGGCCATTTCTTGTTTGGAAAACTCCAGAGATTTCATCTCATTTGAATTGCAAAGCCTTTATCACTGTATATTCTGTCAGTGGATTGTTAAAGATGGATTTTTGTTATATTCTTTAGCACATTCAACACATACCCAACACTTTCAATAGGGTTGCTTCACCTGGAACAGCCTTGCTCAAGGACAGTAATAGGTTCAGGGTTTGATCCAGGTTAACAGCCCAGATTTGTACTTCCTAAGCTCCAACTTTATGTCCAAAAGACTGTTTGTAAGGATTATGTTAGCTTTACTTATTAACTTCACCAGTAATAACAAATGACAGTCTGTCCATTTAGCCATGCAGTTCTGCTGTCACTCACTTGGTGCCATCAGACTCAGCTGGGCGTCCTATTAGAGAGAGAGAACAAATGGACAGGGGTTTTCTGTTTGACCAAAACTACATACAGCCATATGACTTTCCTTCAACCCTGTAGCCCTCATGATTGGATCAGAGGCACAGCAGGGAGGTCTTGTACCATTTGTGGCATTTACCAGCTGCAGATGATTGGGATGGATTGATTTATTTGTTTATTGATTACGCTTGTATGATAGATGAGAGACGCCCATGGGTGGGTTTTGTGTATGTGTGTATGGCAGGGTTTCTGGTTGAATCCGGCAGCAGCTGTCAGGAAAGGGTTTTTTACATCTGTAGACCCTTCTTATCCAGGTATTTTATTTCTCTTCCACCCTGTAACTGTCCAAAAAAAAGGTCACTATTTAAAAAAAGAAGAAAAAAAAGGTAGTTCAGTGTAAAATTTCTTAAATTTTTTCTTATAGAGAAAAATAGCAAAATAATTTCACTGCTTATAAATTTTATTATTATATAGGATTTTATGGTCATGCCAAATTATCATGGATTTATCATGGCAAAGTTTGTTCAGGTTCAAAATATCATGTGGTGCAATTCCTCAAAATCTTAATGAGAATTCTGAATAATTCATGACATTTGTAAAGAATACTCCCACCCCCATTTTATTTTTTTCATTAAAAAATTGATGTGTACACTCACACGTATCAAGGTCTAAGGAAAGTATTTTAATACATTTTACTGTATTTGCTTTTATTAAATAAAACCAACATAAATACAAAGAACACATGTGTTTTAAATTAGATTATGAAAATATTTTTTCCCCTTTTTTTATCATGAGCACTCTTGTATGTCTTAAATGAACCAATACCTTCGCTCATACCACCGCTCCATAAATGCTGGACAATTTTCATTTCCTGATGCTTTGTGCATTACCTCATTAACCTCTAGTGTTATTGTACTGTTATGATCTAAATTATATTGGAATTGGAATTTGGATCACTGGTATTCTATTAATTGTCGGTAAGTACCGTAGATCAGGGGTAGCCAACCCTGCTTCTGGAGGGCTACCATCCTGCAGAGTCCAACCCTAATCAAACACACCTGAACCAGCCAATCATGGTGCTCAGAATTACTTGGAAAATAACAGGCATATGTTTTGGAGCAGGGTTGGACCTGAAGTGTGCAGAAAGGAAGCTCTCTAGAAGCAGGGTTGTCTACCCCTGCTTAGGATACATCCATTATGCACCATGCTAAAAATTACCTTTCTCTCATTTTCTCAGGTGCTCCAGAGGTCACGCGTATGTGGGGATCAGCGGGCCACTCTGCAGGAATTATTGCGCTGGCGGAGGAGTGTTTGTGATGGTCGACCAGACTGGCAGAACGCTTGGCTCCACACAAATACCTCACCCACCCTAACAGTGAAGACCAAGAGTCCCAGAAAGAAATCATTGCCCTAGAGATTGTGGTCTTCCTGAGTTAAACCTCAGTTAAACCCCACTCCTTAGGCCCGATGGCACTTATTATTTTTTGCCTTTCACATAGGGGTGGAGTCCTCTAAACAGAGCCAGACTCTGGACTCAGGAGAGTAGGGCATCCCAGTTTGTTCTTGTTTCTTTCTTCACTTCTTTGAATGAAAGGTTCCTTGGAAAATTGTTCCACGCCATCTCTCCAACTAATGGCAAACTGGGACCAAATAACATAAACCCCCCAAAGACTACCAAGCCCAACTTTGAAAACATAAAGTCATCTTTGGGCAGACAAAAGGGGGCATGGCTATTTTGAATCCCATTTGCAGTGTCCCAAACATCACGCCATTTGGAAGATCTCATCACGTCGCTTTGATCGCAACTCATCAACGCTATCTGAGGGCTGTGCAAACATCTCAACTGTGTGCTATAGTCTACATTGTGGGCCATATTTTAGTTTTAAACCCTGGTGCTGGTCGCTCCACATGTGGTTGTTGTTGACTGGGTTGGGTAAAAAGTGCCAGTTCTGTCCCAACTCAAACACTCGAGACACATGGATGCGACAGACCTTAAAGTTTACAAGACTTTGTATTGACCTCCTAGGTCTAGCTTTGTGAACAAAGTCCTCCTTCAGGTTCAGAGAAGCAGCTACACCTCATGCTTTTTCAGGTGCATTGGTTACCCTCCATCAGAGGTGGCAACCATCACACACAGGTTACGAAGAGGTCAGGGTTCAGGGAAATCACCAGTAACATCACAGGTCCACAGCATTTCCACCAGCTTCTGCACTACATACATTGTTCACCCTAGGCCAATGAGTATGTCTTATGAAACCAAAAGGTTCTCTTGACAAACTTGAAGACACCTGGTTTATATCAAATGGTTAAAGAGCACAATTTTCCAAATACACCTTTAGAGGGAACAATCATTACTAGGGATGGGTATTACTGCCGATGTGACTCTGACAGCTCCCGTAACCGTTTTTGGACTTTTCCTCAAAGGTGCTTATGTACGAATGCTGGGTTGTATGGAAACATGTCAGTACCTTAGTAGACGACTTGTACAAACAGCACATGACCTTTGGTCTCCCTGAAGTTTCAAACTATTCATCTCTCTAGTCGTTCCTAATTTGTGAAGGTGCACAGATGCCTCCAAACAAAGGCCTCGAGGCATTTGGTTTATCCATACAAGTGTGCACATGCAGATTTATTACCCGAAAGACCTTGGGTAAATATTTTTAGACCTTGAACACTGGGTTTGCAGCAGGAGACCCACCATAAGCACAGCCGTGTACGTGAAGTGCAGGCGCTTTTCTGAGAATAAGCAGAGCTTGACCTTCTGGTTCTGGTTGAATTCAGTATGACTGAATAGATGGATTATGTACAGACTGTGACTGTTTATTGGCAAATTATTGTCTTTATAATGGAAAGTTATTCCTGAGTGTTCAAGGATGCAATGACAGAAGGACTAAGGTGGTGGGTTTTATAGTGTGAATATCGTTTTAGTACAGAATGATTGTTTATTCATGGAGAACTCTTTAGCCGTTGTCCATCCCCACAGGACTTCGGCCAGTCTTCGAAATGTATAAAGATATTTAATGTATTGTACAGAACATTTGTGTTTGTGCAAGTATGTTTAAGTGGCACTTTGCCGCTGTGTTTCATTTAGGCTTCATTGAGAACGTCACTTCATGCCTGTGTGCTTATCCTGAAGGTGGCGTCCTGAAAAAGTTCCCCAAATGTTACACCTTTGGCTCAGCCAGTTCAGCCCTCTCTGACACAATGATCCATGTCAACGTCTTTGGTCTCAATATTTAAATGTGCATACATTAAATCTGAGAAAACAGTGACTTAAAATGTATGGTTTGTATAACCAGTTGTGTTTAATGATTGTATTGAAACAGTAATTTATTTTCAGTGTGAAACATTATCTAAAATTTATTCAAATTAACATTTTGCAGAGATGATTTTAGGCCCCAATTTTGTGAGTCGTACTTTCTGGCTCTATATATCATTACAGACAGCTCTAAAATGGGCTGCTATAAGGCTTGTGAATCTCATATCTTCTTCTGTCTCTTCCCAACTAATGTGAATAGTCCCTTTCCCCATTCCATTGGACGGTGGTTTAAAAGCATCTTTCACTGCTGTGCAGTCCTGCAGATCGGAGACACATATTAAAATCACTGTGCAGGCCAGTGCTGACGGAGACCAGAACTCACTTCATGGGTTTGATCCCCAGCTGCTTGACATCGCTACTGCTTAACAGGGTTTTGATACTTTTATTTGCAACATTTATTTATTGAAAAAAAAAAATCACTTTTATAATGTCTAGTATTGACTTGCCATCAATACTATAAAGCAAAAAGAGAATGAAAAGATCTGTACAGTATGAGCCCATTTTTCTACTCCGTTGTTGAAAAGGGAACGTATGTTAAAGCATGAGATCTCTTATGTACACACCCCGTCTATCTGTTTTTCTGTGCTTAGTCTGATACATTGTGGAGATATAGACATCATTGGATCATGCCCTTTGTCTTAACTGGTGCTGTGGAACCATCCAAAAAAATACTTCTCACCCTCCAGCCTGGATGTCTTGTTTTGATGGCAAAACAATGGGCAGAAATTGTTTGGCCAAGATCAATATGTAGAGAACATCTGCCAGTGTTGTAGTCGAGACCAGCTCATTCGAGCTCAGTCAAGACTGTGATGAGAATAGGGTCGAGCTTGAGTCAAGACTGAGTCCAAAACCATATTTTCCTGTCTCAGGCTTGACTCAGAGTTGACTGATTGGTTCTTTACTTACAACACTGACATCTCCATCTCAAAACACCGAAAATAACTCATTCAGATTTGTGTGCTTGCTCAAATATGCAGAGATCAACTAAATATTTAATTATCATGGCTCTTGCTGTCTTTTGTAGTCAGTTTTTGTTTAGTTTTTTTATCCTTCTGTAAATTCTATATAAATATGCCTATACATGTTTGAAGGCAAAGAAGAAAAAAAAACATGTCTTGTTACATATTTTGTTTTTGAAATGTTTTATAAAATCCCTGTACAGCAATAAACAGTGTCTGTCAACTGACAAAAAAATTCTGATTATTTCTTAGAGTACGGAGGAAAGATTTTGGAAGAACTATATAGAGGAACTATATAAAATCATAAATATTCATGAAAAAAAAAAAGAATCATGAAAGTCCATGTGTGGCATTTAACATATTGTTAAATATAAACTGTTTATTTCTACAATGCTACAGTGATTTTTTTTTTTCTGAAAAATAAATTTTTAGCTTGCACATTAAATACTTTGTACTTGGCAACTAGTTTAAATACACAACCATTCAACAGTTTGAGGTTGGTAAGATTTTTTTTTTTTAATGTTTTTGAAAGTCTCTAATGTTCGCCAAGGCTGCATTTATTTAATCAAAAATACAATGAAAACTAATGTTGTGAAATATTTCTTATCAATGTTAAAAACTTTTTTAGGATTCTTTGTTGAATATAAAGTTCAAAAGAACAGCAATTATTTGATAGATATATATATGTGTGTGTGTGTGTGTATATATATATATATATATATAT